CAGGAAGTGTTTTATGCTGTTATGTACTACTCCCAACATATTTACCTCACCTGCTTCAAAACAGTCTCAGAAGAGCCTGAAGACATTGATGATGCTATGTTGTGAATCTTGTGAGTTGTCGGAGAACAGTGTATCCTTGGCGTGGCATCAAAGTTCGATGCTTTGCCATCACACAGGAAGTTGTTGTAACTTCACTGTAGATGCTCATATCTCTACCAAATTTCACACATTTGATAAGGGTCACGCTCTGAGCACATCTACAGGTCAAAATTCATTCACCCTCATAGCGCCACCTGCTGGAATCAGGAAGTGTCCCTTCAAAGATGTAGCCCCTGCACACTGAATCACCAAGATGCACAAAACTTTTGTGGTACATGTATCATCCCAAGACGCACAAAAAAGCCTGTTGGAGCCATTGCCTAAACCAAACAGGAAGTCGGCCATTTTGGATTTAATGTTTTTTTTGCAATTGAAACACTTTAACAAACTCCTCCTAGGGATTTAGTCCGACCGACTTCAGATTTGTGCTATGCAGTCTGCACAGAGCATTGACTATTAAAAGTTGTGCGAACGGTGAGTTTTCGTGGAACGGCGTTCCTGTGGCGTCCAAAATCGTTGATTCGCCATAAAACAGAAAGTTATTGTAACTTCAGTGTACATGCTCACATCTGCACCAAATTTGGAGTACACTATAAGAGTCCCGCCCTGAACACATCTATATGCTAATATTCACTTAAAGTCATAGCGCCACCTGCTGGCATCAGGAAATGACACGTTTTATGCTGCAATGTACTATTCCGAGCAGGTTGGACATATGACCTTCAAAACTGTCCCAGTAAACCCAATAACACATTGATGAGACCATGTTGTAAACTTGTGAATTTTCGGTTAACGGCTTGGCAGTGGCATGGCGACGAAGTGCCATGCTTCGCCATGACACAGGAAGTTGTTGTAACTTTACTGTACATGCTCAGATCTGTACGAAATCTTACATGTTTAATAAGAGTCCCGCCCTGAACACATGTACATGCCAACATTCAACCATGGTCATAGCGCAACCTGCTGGCAACAGGAAATTACTTTTAACAAAGATGCCCCCCTGGCACTTTTCACCTACATGTATAAAATTTCTGTGGCACATGTATCATGTCCAGACCTACCAAAAAGCCTCTTGGAGTGATGCTCTAAACACAACAGGAAATCAGCCATTTTGAATTTTTGGATGATTTACTCACTCCATACTTTAACTCCTTCTTTTGGCGACAGCGCTAACCACTGCACCACCGCGGAGCCCAGAATTAGAACATGTAGAACAAAAATTTAATTATAACATTTATAACATTTGAACAATTCACATTAACAGTAGGGAGACAACCGTTTCATTCTCAAAATAGATAGATATATTTTATTAAACCCACAAGGGGAAACTCAATGTTTTCACTCACTCACTCACTCACTCACTCACTCACTAATTGTTAGTATTTTTACACATGGAGAGATGTCAGAGTGAGGAGGACTGTAAACGTAGTGATTGTGTTGACCTGAACTTAAGCAGCTCAACTACCTTTCTCTCCTTCCCTTACTCCCTCGTAGTGTCTGGAGCTATTCTTCTGGTACGGTGTAAATCTTTCTTGCATGCTGCTTCCAGAATGCAGATCCTGTTTTGTATGGATTTTATAACCATTAGTGTCTATTAACAACACAGAGCAATTGCTTTAAATGTGTTGTTATAAAGAACATTAGGTATACACACTTAAAAGATACTGATGTCTCAACATGAATAATGAAAACCACAAACTGACTGGCTGGAGTGTTCACTAACGATATGCTGTGTTAATATCACTACACTGTAAAGTTTAGTACACTTTACTGTCTGGCAGGAGTAGCTATTACTTACCCATGATAGAAACTAATGTGCGAGTATCAGCTGTTATCAATCATACAGTCGATGGTCCTGTCACGCAATGCACACAATAACTCCCACTACATTTTATGGTGAGCTTACTTTAATTTACGCGGGGGTGGGGGGTCTATTACTCTGTTGAACTGTATGTAAAGACTTCTCATACCATTGCCTCTGCCTATGCACTGGTAAAGCGGCCGTTAGTAAAATGCATGTTGCAGACTGTGTATAAGTCATCTGTCCTCCAACACTGCATGCACAAATGCCATAATGAACATACCTACTGTAAGTTCTAAGTAAATTACATGATAAATTGGTTAGCTAGCTCCCAACGATGTTTATCAGTTTGATGTTCTGTCTTAATGAGGCGTGGCGGCGTGACAGTTTTTTAACGAGGCATGACAGTGCGCCTGCTCAAGCTTGGAGAATGACGTATGACGTATTTGGCAAAAAATATTTGGCAAACTATGTGGGTTATCAACATTGTAGGGAAATGACTCAGAAAAATATGAAATATCATAGAAATGTCAAAATACACGGGGGCGGGGGGGCTTTAAAAGGTTGCTTGTATTAATATTGTTGTTACACATTCATGCCAATAAAGCTAATTTGAATTGAATTGAATTAAGGAAGCCAGAGGGAGTTATGCCTCACCCTGCAGCTCTGCAGAGCTTTTTAGCATCTTGCAGCTCATAGATTTGGTTGCATGGTTCTGCAAAGCATTGCTTTGGTGTCCAGCAGCAGGCAGCTGTACACTATCTGCCCAGCATCAGACAGCAGGCATACTAAGTCGGGTTTATACAAAGTCTTGAAAGTTTTAAAAATGCTTAATTGTAAGCATTATGTTGACAAGGTTAGGAATATCCTTGATTTTGAATACACTTGTTGAATACACTGATATATGATAATACACTCCTTGAAAAACGCTTGATTTTTAACATAATCTGGTGTTTCATTTACACAGTCACTCATCAAGTGACCTGAAAATGTGACCTACGTGATGTGTTAAAAATATATTTTATGGTCATGTTAGCTTCTCTGTCCTCTGCTCTGTGTGTTTGACCGAGGGTGGGGCTCAGCTCATAAGCGCACAAACACGCCTGAAATTCAGCATGTTGTTGTACACTGAGCTGCTGGCTAAGACAAAGCAGCCCTTCTCTCTCTGCCCAGTACCTGCAGGCAGTGGCACAGCAGCAGAGAGAGGAGCAGGAGGAAGGACTGATACTGTGTTTTTCATTCTTTCTAAAATTCACTCAGTGTTTTGATGTCAGGAATAGGATTTATTAAATTTTTTTAGATTTGTTTCCAGTGAGATATAGTGAGATATTTCTATAGTGACTTTGCTGTTGTAAACATCATTGATGCTGCTGTACAAACATTTAGTTATATTTACAGTAAATATGGGGGTATTGCACGATCAGTGGATATTGACTATTACCTATGTACAAGCAGCTGTATTCTAATGTTAACATAGCTATCGTCATGAGCTAGGCTCATTACATGCTTGCCAATAACTGTCATGGGTAATTGAGTGCAGTGGCAGGAGGTAGGACTCAAACGCAGACACTAACAGGAGGATTCAGTTCAACAGAAAATATTTATTTAAACAAAACTTAACTGTACAAGGTACACGGAGCTCAGAGCAAAAGTCCAAACAAAGGTAATCCAGAAGAAGTTAAATCCAACACAAAGACAGAGTAATCCAAAACAGGGGAACTAACCAGAAATCCAGGGAACAGCGCACAAGGCAGAACACTCAACATAGATGCAAGGACGTGACAAAAACTGAAGACAACTGAGTATATACACTGGTCAACGAGCAGGGAGGGAAGCACAGCTGAAATACATCAGGTAATAGTAAAACAGAAAACGTTGAAAGACAGCAACATCAGGTCACGGACAGAGACGGGACCCAACAGGAGACAAGACTACACTAAAACATGCAGATTAGGGCTGTACATATCGATTATTTTTCAAGTCGATTAATCTAACGATTATTTTTTCGATTAGGCGATTAATCTAATGACTAATTTTGTTTAAAGAAAGAAAAGTTGCCTATTAACATACCAATTTATCCAAAATAAATATCAAAAACGTCAATAAATGAACATCAATAAATCTATATTTTATTCAGTCATCCTGATGAAGCACATTAGAATAATTACAATAGCAGCAAATCTTAAAATGAATCAAATTTCCACGTCACTGATGTGTTGTGATAATAACAATAACAGACATTAATTAGGCTACTTTACTTAAAACTTTAAATGTTTCTAACATGGATTCATTTCAATATTAAGTAATGCAGTATGATAATAAAATGTATGCATCAGTGAACACCTGAAAGGACTCTCAGACTGTACAGTCACAGATTGTCTGTAATCAGATTCAGCTGTTACCATGACAGCAGCAGGGCAGAAATTACTTTTAACATGAAGGCAATGAAGAAATCCTACGTGTCCTCGTGCTGATAATGTTCGGTGCTTGTGTGGCGACAGAAAGTAAACACGATTTGCGGTGCTGCCGTCTAGACAAAGTGCTGCGGGATACTTTTGTTTGACATGTTTGTGCTGCTTCATGTATTCGTGGACAGCAGCTGTGCTGCAGTGAAGCTGTTTCCAGTTCACAGAGCTCACGGAGCAGCACGTTGTTGAGTGTCTGTCTGAAATACTCCAAACTTTAGACGGTCGAAGGCGCGGTCTTGTAGCTGGAACTTGTCCGGGATAATCCCACACCGGATACAGTGTATTTACGTAATCACCCCAGCCCTAATGCCGATATAAGACACAGACAGGAAAACACGAAAACACAGGACTAAAGACATAATGGCAAAAACCAGAAACCCACAGGGACAAAATACAACTCATAACAATAACTTATTTGAAGGTGGGTGTCCAAGATTGACAGCGTGTTTGTGAGAGAAAGAGGGAGCGAGAGGAGGTCCTGACTTAATCCGCGCACTGCAGGCAGCTCTAAGTGGATTTTTTAAAGGGATCAGCATTGATATTGTGGCAGGGCGCCACAAATAATTCTATGTATGGGAAACTCTGAATAATGTGTATTAAAAACTACTGGTTGGCCACTAACACTTTTTGGAAATGTCCCTTTTTGTCTTTCAGAGGCGATGCAGTTCCTGCATGGAGACAGAGGATGTGACCACTGATGGTATTATGTAAACATGTGACAATCTTCCTGTACAACACTGCAGCACGCTGCTGGAAGAACTGTGTCCAAAACACTCTCTCTTATCAGCCAACAGGACCAAATCCATACCATACTATACAATCATTCTGTACATTGTGTACTATGTACTTATTGTCATAATATACTGTTTAGCACTTAGTATACAAAAACCCCCGACTTAATCTTACTTACTATACTATATATTAATACTTAATCGCTTCATACTAGCAGGAAAAAAGTTTTTTCAGCTGTGTGCAGCTCCTCCTTTTCCTCTGTGCATTGCACTGTGGGAGAAGAGCATCTATAGCACACACACAAATCTACATATTTAGTATGCATGAGCTGTGCATGCATCCTTTATTGTTTGAAATTGAAAAACCATCTATTTAACTTGTACGTGCTCCTTTTAAACTAAACCGATCATCTGACCCAGTCTTCCTCTTCTCCCCTTGTTTGTGAGTTGTCCATTTTTGTCTTCTAATCTAATGTTGGACGTGTTCCCTCGCAGGTTCCTGGTCACAGAGGTCCATCTCCCGTTCCTTGCAGCGAGCTGAGACTTTACTCAGAAGCACCTTTAATCCCAGCCTGAAGTGGCTGTTTCATGGCTGCAGTCAAGATGAGGAAGAGGAAGAGGGAAATTTTGTGGTAGCTCACAACCTAGTGTCCCGGTCCTCTGCACGTCTCCTGTGGCTGCAACAAGCTCTTCTGACTGTGGCACCCCAGTGGCAGCCAGTTGGTGGGGCACAGATGGGCTCTCCACAGGTGAGTTCCAGGGATTTCAACAGGTGTAAGGAAAACAACACAAGTAAAAAATGAATGCATCTTTGTCACGAGGAGACACTATTGCTGATGTGGTTGACGATGGATGGATAGATGGAAATAGTTATTAGAATATTTATTGAATACTTTCACCAAACCAGTCAACACACACCACCTGTCCCCTTGTTGTAAATAGTAAATAAAGTAAGTAAAGTAAGTAAACCCTAATAATCAGAAAATCTACAGATCTACACAATGGCTAGATAAACATCATAAATTAATTAACAGCTAGACAATCACTTCAACATATATGCAATGGAAAATATGAAATATGGAATAAATGCAGCATTTCTTAAATTGTGAGAATCTGCACACTAAACATTATTAGCCTTCCAAAACAGATAATAAACCAACATTTACTAAAAGAAAGGTCCGTTACTCATGCATGCACACACAACAGCAACAAGCAGCTTCTAAAACTGAGCTGTCTCTTCCCCTGCAGACACTGAGCAACTAAACGTCCAGCTCCCCTGCTCCTTCACTCTCTGACAGAGCTCCCTCAGTGACCTAACAGGCCCAGATATGCTCCAACCTCATAGGTAGTCACTGAGCTGTTAGAACACAATGTATAAATAATTGAGAAACATCAGAAGAAAAAGAAAGAAAAAGAAGAAACATTAAATAATAATAAAAATAGAAAGTATACTTCTGTAAGTCATTGCTTTTCAAATAAGAACTCTTGATGATCAAACAGGAACAAGAAGCAATGTCATGATGTGAGCTGTCCTGACCACTGGGAAAGAAATCTCTGATTTGACAGTTTTGACTGAGTCCGTACGCTGTCTCCTCCTCCCCCATCAGGTGTATGTTAAAGGACTCCCAGCAGATGCAGGTGTTCTCCTCCTGCCCTCCTCCTCCTTCCTGCAGGGGAACTACAGAGCTCTGTGCAGGCTCCTGGAGCAGCGATCCCTGCTGCTCTTCATACACGAGTACACTAGGAGGGCTCGCCTAACAGTGGCATACATATCCAGAGTGAGACACCTTCTGGAGGATCAGCTGAAGAAATCCCATCTGACGCTTAACCAGGTTAGGCTAAGCAGCAGGAATTTTTCAAACAGTAAAGGATTCTGTCAGCCATCTCTGTGATATGAACATGTCATCAGATTGTGTGTAATGTGAAACCCACTGAGAATCAACTATGTCAATGTTCACGAGCTAGTCTCTAGCTGTGTCCGTCAGCTGTTTGGTTCTCAGCAGGTAGTATACAAAGGTACTTTATACTTTATTTATTTCTCACATACACATACATGTAGTGAGATTCATCCTCTGCTTTTAACCCATCCCTAAGGGAGCAGTGAGCAGCCACTGTACAGCGGGGAACCAACTCCAGATTGAAATGCAGTGTCTGGTTAAATGACACTGACTGGAGAACCTACTTAACATGTTTTTGATGGTGGGGGAAACTGGAGCACCATGCAGACACTTCTTGGGACCTTCTTGCTGTGAGGCCACTGTGCTGCCACCAAGCTTTTTTGATGGAAGTGACTGTGTGTGGGTGTTGATGAGAGTGGCTTTCATTCAACTGTACAGTAACATGCAGTAACAACCCAAACAACGAGCTAAAAGATGCTAAAAAACAACTGATTTTGGCAGATTAGGGACCTTTTTTGTGGATTAATCTGTACCCTGTTTCCTGTAGACCCTCTGAACTGGACGCACAGACTGACAGATCCTGCAATATAATGAAGCTTAGAGGCGCACAGAACGTGTGTTTCTGTGTTCAAATCAATTACTACTGATAGATAAAGATGAGCTATGAGGTATAAAACCAATGCGGATATCATGAGTTACTGAATCATTTGAATTATTACAGTGACATTATGCATTGCATACAGGTATATTAAGCTCACTGTAAAGTCACTTATCATATTAGATGTTTAGTCCCTGTAATGATCTTATCACAAGGTCTGAAATGTTTTATGATTTATGTGATCATCAGTAGCATAGTTGTAGTCCTGCTGAATAATACTGTATCACATCTCTAATCACATCTCACAAATGATATTTTCATTCTGAAACTAATGGGAGAGTAAACGGTGATGAGGTTCAGTAGCTGAGTTGGCTGGTAGAGGGTGTCTCTTTGCCTGCACCGTGGCTTGCTGTCTTCCAACACATACCGCCAGGAAACCAGAGGCCTTCTATACTCCCCCTCTGTCCCTCTCCCTATGAGAAATAACTAATTCATAAAAATGGCAATCAGCAAAAAGGAAGAAGTAATCATGCAGTATGGAATATGAAATATGAATATGCATGCTTGGAATGACTTAAAGTGCACCCCTGAATGTTATGCACTGTGCAGCTGTTCCACAAAACATCACGTACATACCCAGCTTTTTCAGTCCAGTGTCAGGGTATTTCTACAGGATGCACATAAGATCAACAGGACCATGAGAAGAAGAGTCCTACATAAACATGGCCCACAGAGTAAAGGTTCCAGTGAAGTCTCACAGCCATTAACTCCACGTTTGGAGTGAACCTGAACTGATAACAGGCTGCTACACAGCAGCTTCACCACTTTCAACTGGAAAACTGTAAATTACTGAAAGCTCAGTCTTCTAATGGTTTTGACTTCTTTCTTGATCATTTTGACAGTTATAGACTGTATTTTATTTTAAACAGTTCTTGCATGGCTGCTTGTGTTTAGACCGCTTTTGACATTCCAAACCTTTGGCTTCCTTTCCTCAGTGTAAAAAAAGGCGTTTTTATGATTGTATCATTTTGGGGTCAGTCCTGACACTCTGGAACCGTATCAGTACTTACTTAATTCACAAAAGCATTGTCCTCTACCTTTCCAGACCCCGTCCAGCTGGCCTTCAGTCAAAGTTGGTCTCTGCTCACTGAGTCAGGAGCTCCGGGTCCATCTCAACCACTGGTCTTGTCTGTTCTCGAAAGTCCAATCTGACCACCATCTGAGACCTGCTGTGGTCCAGCAGACCAGGCTGCTGGTGAAAATCAAACAGACTTTGGACTTACTTGGTCTGCAGGCGCTGGTTTTGATGGAACATTATGTGTATGTCATTCTGTGTGCTATAGCCCAGACTGAATTAGAATCTGTACCAAGAGAAGTCCTGGAGGATATTTTAGCTGGTACAGACCTGTATAATCAGGCGGTGGGGGAGCAGAGAGCGCAGCACAGAGCCACCCAGATGAGGACTGCAGTATTACAGCAGGCACATTATTCCACACTGGTTTCTGGTCTTCCGGACTGCAAAGGCCATCACCCTGCTTCCTTCTCAGTCAAAGAGCTGATGAGGATTTTAGCAGTGCATCATGCAGACACGGCAGCCAAGCAGCTGCACTGCTTGGCCTTTGAGCAGAGCTATTGCATATGTCAGGTCCACACCAACTGCGAGGCCAATGCATGTTCTGATAACTCTGTTAGTCAGGCGTCCAGGGTCCGCTGTGGGACCTCCGCTCTGAGATCTGAGTGGACCTGGGAACAGCTGCTGCATACCTACCTCAATGCCTCTCCTGTCTTCTCTATTAATCATCATGCCCCTCTGCAGTCGTCATCTCATCACACCTGCCATAAAACCCCTCCTGTTTACACCACTGACCTGCATCTGGGCAGCACTATCTTGGAAAACCACCATCCTGTTTTAGCCAAGCCCACCTTTGTCCAATATAGAACACAGGGCTCTGACAAAGATCAAACTAGCCAGAGCCAAGCATACATACCCCAGACTTGTCTAACTCAGAGCACTGTCGAGCCAAATCTAGAAAGACAGACCAGTTCAGAAACCTGTAAACTACTGCAGATCATTTCATCCCCATCCCCCTCAGCCCTGCCTCTGTCAGGAGTTTGCCAACAGGACTATTCCTCAGTAGAACTACTTTTTCAGCTGCTATTTTCCTTCAGTGACCTGCTTGCTCCGCTGGCATCACATACACCTACAGCAGAGGCCCAGACCGAACGACTGCTCCCACATACAATAACAGATGTCTTATCACCAAATGGAAAGACTGGCCCGATGATTTCAACTGCTGCGATCATAAATACAGCTGATTCAGTGAAATTGACTAGACTGAATACAGAACTGAACACGAGCCAAGATGTGGAAGGAACGCAGCAGGAATGGGCTGAAGTGGAAATAACAGCCAGACCAGAAGCCACTGTCAGGTAATGTCAAGATTAACCAGCCACCGTTATCTTGATTGTTGATCCACTGTTTTTCCACATGTACTGTAAGGCTTCAGTATGCTTTGATCAAATTGCTCATGGAATCTCCTGAATCCCCTTTTGCAGTGATTCCCATTTGAATGATTCATTGCTTATCACCCCACTCTAGGGCCCAAGTTATGCTTTCTGCACCCCATTAGCTCAGAGGCTCAAGGCCGACCGTCCACATGCAGCCCATAATGTATAACCACAAAGACTATGTACTCAACAAATGTGTGAACACATCTGCCTTTGTAGACATCCCATTTAGGATTCTATCTGCCTTTTAAAGGCCTTTTCACACGAGAAGCGATTTACGCACCTTGTAATTAATTTTGAATGAGAAGCGAGCGTGCAGGAAGGGAAGCACAGGCATTATGATAGGCGGAGCGACAAGTAGCGCATTCCCGTGAAACTGTTGCAGTCGTGCTCGTCTCACGCACACACCCGCCTGCTGCCAGAGTTGAATTGTCTTGAACTTTTTGTTCGTGACTTGCAGCTCAAATCAATGGTGGAGAGACTGATCTTCGCTGTTTGAGAGTTTCCAGAACCTATTACTTTTACTATTTACTAAATAGTTTTAAGGACATGAACAGGAGAGAATTCACATGGCAGAGCATCCCCACAAAACTGAATGTATTAGGTAACCTGTATAATTTTAACTTAAGTTAAATAGGCTGCAGCGGTTCAGCGCACATAAGCCGTTGCCATGGTTACTATGCAAAGAGTGCCTTCTGTTTACTCGCGGAGCGCTTGTCTCCCTGTCTGTTTACATGTGGAGCGCAGAGCAACCCCGCCAGGCCAAGTGACTACGCAGGCAGAGTCACTTCCCGTCTGAAAAGACCTTAAGATGGCAGGCTTCTCATTGCCTTGAGTGTGACGGAACTGACAGAATCATCTGATGAGCATCTGTAATCAGTGTATGAGTGCAGGGCTCGACGATAACGGTGACGATAACGGTGGCCCGATGGCCCAGGGCCCAGTGGGGTCGCCAGGAATTTTGGGCCCCATGACAAAAAAATCAAATTGGACCCCCTCTGCACAGCTGTTGTGATCTGTTCTGTAGGACTTAACTGTCCCATCAAAAGCCTTACATAACTCTAATTAAAGGCTTGCAAGTGTCTGGCTTCTTGTAGTTCAATATTAGTAGTAGGACAGTATTTACTGCTGGTAATTTGCACATGCAAGTCTGCATACAGGATGCAGTTCACCATTTGCTTCTCAATTAAACTGCCCTTCATAATGGGAATAGTAAAGTCTGTATCTATAGATGTCATTAGCGGCCATAATTCAATTTAAATGAACGTATCAAACTGGATTATTTTCATATAGTCTGTAATTTACATGCAGGCTGAGGTAAGCTGCTGTCCAGCATCCAGTACAGACAGGAAGTTGTATTTTTATTTTATTTCATAATGATCATTATGTGAGAAAATAACTTGTGTTTGAATTTCTGTCATTAAGAAATATTTAATTGTCTTTTTTTGTTATGATAAAAAGAGCAAGAGAGACAGAGAAATCCCCACAGACTCCCTGGAATGATGCTAACTGGCATGTCATTAACACAGTGTTGTTCGCCTTCTTCACTGGGACATGGGGGGCTACAGTTATGGGGAGACTGAGGTGCTGCTGACTTATCTGTTGTTAGTCTGCCAAAAGGGGCAGGGACAATGATTTAATATGAATATCTTGCTAAATGTTTCCTTGCACTGATTAAATGCTGATGAAATGTAGGCTAACACTAGTCTGTAGCTAGCTAGCTTATTTCACTATGGACATTAAGCCAACAGGTTAACACCACTCGCAGACTAAAGGCTACTTTGATGTCTTGTCATTATGCAGCTATTATTTTGAATTGGTAAGGCTACAGCCTACTTCTTATTTCTCTCATAAATACAGAAACAGAAGGGGGGAGGTCACATTAAACTAGAAATAAAATATGTAAAAAGTATCGATACCAGCCTGGGTATTAGTTGGTATTGGATCGGATAGGAATTAAGTGGTATCAAACATCACTACTACCGATTGCATCTAAACACCGTACATATATATACATATATATATATATATATATATATGTATATATATATATATATATATATGTATATGTATATATGTATATATATATATATATATATATATATATATATATATATATGTATATATATATATATGTGTGTGTGTGTATATATATGTTATGTATATATATATATATATATATATATATATATATATATATATATATATATATATATATACATATTGGGACTGGGGCCCAAAGATCTTTACAACTCACCTGTCCAAGTGTTTTTCCGTAAGCATAAAAATGTTGTTACTGTGTAGATACAGCAGTTGACAAAAAACTCAAGGGTCTACCTATACAGAATGTGAGGCAGTCCCCTGATATAAGTCTAATTCTGTTAGAATGAGAAAATGTTTTCTCTGTCACATACACATTTGACTTTGGCAGGAAAGCATTTTTGCACCTATTACTATGGGTTTAAAAGCTAAGGTGTACTGCAAATCCACCAGTGATGTGGCCAGAAATATGTTCTGTTGTGCTTGTCATCTCGTCAAATAGTGACACTGTATACCACTTGGATGTTTGTAAATGCAAACAGCCTGCATATTCATCTTGTTTTGTTGCTCTTGACACTGACAGTTCCTGCTACACAGTCCTTGTACAATAACCACACACTGTTTGTGTCCTTCAGCTCAGGTTTTCATAGGGACCCAGAGAAAGAGGATACTGTGCGAGCAGAGGGGATGACAGGGGAGGCAGACTGTCTTCGCTGGCCTCACTCTGTGCAGTGGTTGGACCTCGGTCAGTCACTGCTGTTTGCTGACCTGTTTGGACAGTACCGCACCCTGCTGTGGACTCTCTGCTGCAAAGCCCTGTGGCTGCAGCTCCATGTGCCACAAACAGGAAGCACTGCAGGAAGTATCAGCCTCCAAGACAACCACAGGAGGCTCCAAATCCTGCACAGGATCAGTCAAGTTGCAAAGACAGGTAAGAAGTGTGTTTAAGAGCCTTGAACAATAGCACAAAACTGTAGTGTTGCTCAGGAAATGATACAATTCACTAGTTTATAATGACAAAAACAATATTGTTACCATTTTGCATGTTGTTACCTTAGCAAATATTTAGTTGATTGGTAGAATTTGTGTTTATTTCTTGTGATTGTGAATTGTTGATGATACTGCATGTGGTGTCCACATTGTTTTAAGGATAGGAGAGTGTGTTTTTAAGAAGGGTACACAGGGGTTAAATGTTTAAGCTTAAGATGAGTTATTTTTCATAGGGTGGAGAAATGGTTTTTCCCCTAAGAAATCCAATTTACTGTGCTGTCTACATGACACCTCTGGGTTTTGTGCTGTTTGTTGTAGATCTGTTTCCAATGGAGTACAGAACCATGCTGGAGGACTTCAGTCTGTTACTATTAACCATTACAGCACATGCTCAGTGGGACTATGGTTGGTAGACATGCACACACACAAATCACTCATAGTAAAATGTTGTTAGAGGCAAAGCTGTTGTAGAAACAGTATTCTCAGTGTTAAACAGCGACAGGCAGAGCTACTGAGCAGGACCAGATTTACATACAGTGGGTACGGAAAGTATTCAGACCCCTTTAAATTTTTCACTCTTTGTTTCATTGCAGCCATTTTCCAAAAATCAAAAAAGTTCATTTTATTTCTCAGTAATGTACACTCATCACCCCATCTTGACAGAAAAAAAACAGAAATGTAGAAATTTCTGCAAATTTATTAAAAAAGAAAAACTGAAATATCACATGGTCATAAGTATTCAGCCCTTTGCCGTGACACTCATATTTAACTCAGGTGCTGTCTATTTCTTCTGATCATCCTTAAGATGGTTCTACACCTTCATTTGAGTCCAGCTGTGTTTGATTATACTGATTGGACTTGATTAGGAAAGCCACACACCTGTCTATATAAGACCTTACAGCTCACAGTGCATGTCAGAGCAAATGAGAATCATGAGGTCAAAGGCACTGCCTGAAGAGCTCAGAGACAGAATTGTGGCAAGGCACAGATCTGGCCAAGGTTACAAAAAAATTTCTGCTGCACTTAAGGTTCCTAAGAGCACAGTGGCCTCCATAATCCTCAAATGGAAGACGTTTGGGACGACCGGAACCCTTCCTAGAGCTGGCCGCCCGGCCAAACTGAGCTATCGGGGGAGAAGAGCCTTGGTGAGAGAGGTAAAGAAGAACCCAAAGGTCACTGTGGCTGAGCTCCAGAGATGCAGTCGGGAGATGGGAGAAAGTTGTAGTAAGTCAACCATCACTGCAGCAATCCACCAGTCGGGGCTTTATGGCAGAGTGGCCCGACGGAAGCCTCTCCTCAGTGCAAGACACATGAAAGCCCTCATGGAGTTTGCTAAAAAACACCTGAAGGACTCCAAGATGGTGATAAATAAGATCCTCTGGTCTGATGAGACCAAGATAGAACTTTTTGGCCTTAATTCTAAGCGGTATGTGTGGAGAAAACCAGGCACTGCTCATCACCTGTCCAATACAGTCTCAACAGTGAAGCATGGTGGTGGCATCATGCTGTGGGGGTGTTTTTCAGCTGCAGGGACAGGACGACTGGTTGCAATCGAGGGAAAGATGAATGCGGCCGAGTACAGGGATATCCTGGACGAAAACCTTTTCCAGAGTGCTCTGGACCTCAGACTGGGCCGAAGGTTTACCTTCCAACAAGACAATAACCCTAAGCACACCGCTAAAATAACGAAGGAGTGGCTTCACAACAACTCCGTGGCTGTTCTTGAATGGCCCAGCCAGATCCCTGACTTAAACCCAATTGAGCATCTCTGGAGAGACCTGAAAATGGCTGTCCACCAACGTTTACCATCCAACCTGACAGAACTGGAGAGGATCTGCAAGGAGGAATGGCAGAGGATACCCAAATCCAGATGTGAAAAACTTGTTGCATCTTTCCCAAAATGACTCATGGCTGTATTAGATCAAAAGGGTGCTTCTACTAAATACTGAGCAAAGGGTCTGAATACTTATGACCATGTGATATTTCAGTTTTTCTTTTTTAATAAATTTGCAAAAATTTCTACATTTCTGTTTTTTTTCTGTCAAGATGGGGTGCTGAGTGTACATTACTGAGAAATAAAATGAACTTTTTTGATTTTTGGAAAATGGCTGCAATGAAACAAAGAGTGAAAAATTTAAAGGGGTCTGAATACTTTCCGTACCCACTGTATTAGCATGTTAGCCTATTTTAGGTTAAGGGAGTGTGGTGCTGAATTTTGTATTTACTGTTATGTTTGATAATTTGTTATCAACAGATACTATTAAATTAAATATTAAATCACAAGTTTTAAACCTTGATCTGGACATCAGAACATGCACTTCAAATGTTTCATTATATGAATAAGTGTGTGTGTGTGTGTGTGTGTGTGTGGGCGTGTATATATATATATGTCTTTCTGTTGCATTATTTCCTCATTTTGTCCTCATGCTGTCTGTCTTTCTCTCCTTCTGTCTCTTTCTTCAGTGGTGTGCAGAAGTTTAGGTTCAGCTCTGAAAGACAAGTGTCTCACAAATGTAAATCAAGGCAGTAACTGTTTGATGCCTTCATCGGAGCAAGATGGAAGTGTGATGATGTCAGTGACCATGGAGCACTTCCTACTGCTGTCCCCGCCTCTCATGTCATCTCTGTGCTGCCATCACTCAGACAGCAGGTCCTCAGGTGAAGAGACATACACAGTGTTTCCTCCACAGTTATTCAGTCACCTTGTGCATAATATCAGCTGATTCATCAGTGTGTGCCAGCAATCACTCTGTCTCTGAAACAGTGTCATGTCCACCAAAGCTCCACTTAACTGCTTTGGTAGGCCAGTGTTGGTGTGTAGATCTACTATTGATACATAAACCATATGCAGATTGTAGCAGAAAAATAATCCTCTTGCACTGCACACAGTATTATTAGTGGGATCTCTGGGAGCCAACATTAGTGCCAAATAGTTAGCTTCCACAGACAAATGTCCGCATTTACTGTAGCAGCTGGCAAATTCTGTAACTAATCACAGTTGTGATGTGTTCTGTTTACCAGGCGAAAATCTGTGTGCACACATAGCACCAGCCTCATCTGGCTCGTTTTCTGTAGTTTCAATAACGATAACGTTTGTGTCATCTGCTACAGCTGCAGTATCACCTGTCCGGAGCGGCAGGAGATTCAGCTGCAGGCTTACCAAAACACTGAAAGGGTGTAGTTTGAGTTTGCTTGCGTTTCACATCTCCTTTAGTGATTCACATGAGTTAACTTGTGCTGAGTGCTACGCAGCTGTGTTGTTGTATGGTAGGTGAAGTCAGATCCTGGTCACATGCCACAAAGCCCCAAAAGTCAGTGCTTCGCAACACAGACGGGGTGAATTTATAAATGAACGTGTGAAAGTTCTGTCACAAAACGATGTTACATATCATCTCGCTATTTTAAGTGGTATATGGAAATCTATGACTGTTGGGTATACAGCGTATACCTGTGTATCATGTTGACTACACCACTGGGATGCACCAGTCGATCGGCTAGGGACCGGAACTGGTTATGTTTTTTTTACAAGCATGGACTAGGTAAAGCAACAGTGAACAAAGCAGTTGGTGCTGATGTGGTCTCGTTCGCTAACTAACAACAACAACAACAACACAACAAACAGAAACAGAGAGAGAAAGAGAGGGTGTGTCAAGAAGAACAATGAAAAACAAGGTGAGCAAATTACTGTAGTTTGTGAGGAAACACTAAAACAAGGTGGAGAATTAAGTAGAATTAAAATGGTGAGATCAGAAATAGGGAAATTTATTCTTTAAAATATTTTCAAATAAATACAAATATAGCCCCACCACTGCAGTTACGCTGTCATTCTGTGCGAAACACTGAGCTGTGTTCTGCAGTTTATTTTCAGTTAGATTTTATTCGTACAGAAAGCTCTGTCCAGCAGCCTGACCTGGAGCACTTTTTATTTTGAGATGTTTTTAGAGTGACATGACAATAACCTACCTGTCACCTGTGTGTAATGGTTTGTGCATCTTGTAAACATAGCCAGGACACTCAGCCTTTGCTAGTTTAGTAGAATACAGCACGATTTACTTGTGTTCACTCTACTAATTATCATTAGCCTGTTAGTGCTTTGGCTTTACTTATTATGATGAGACAAGTCAGCATTCCTCCACTGTACATCTAAACTAATTTTTGTATTGTTCGAAAGTCTGTTACTTTCTATCCTTTGTTTTATCTGTGTTCTTCAGAACACCTTAAAGTGTTTTACATTACAGTACACATAGAGGCTGATTAGACTACCTCTGTCTCTCTGTCTCTCTCTCTCAGGGTTCTATAGCCTCTTCCCCTCCAGGCACACTCTCCAAAGGCAGACTGTTAGCTTGGCATTAGCCACAGTGCAACTGTCTACAGTCTGGGTCATGTCCAAGGCTTTCCAGTTCCTCTCCTCATGGAGCCTCAACAAGTTCCTGCTCATCACACAGGGAGACCTCAAAGTAGGGTACTCATTTATATCAGTTTATATATTTTAGTCGGTGGATGAACAAAGAGTTACATTACACAAAAGAAAGCCTGTTTGTCCTGATACAGGGATAATGCTGTATTCACATGCTCCTCGAATGGTCACATTCCCAAGTTGGGAAGTCGTTCTCCTGACTTCCCAACAGCGTGTTCGTGAGCTTTAAGTCGTGATGATTTTTGTATAGCGTCTGAGTGATGGGTTATTGGAAATGCTCCGTACTTGTATAGCGCCTTTCTAGTCTTTTCGACCACTCAAAGCGCTTTTACACTACATCAAACGGAAACTAGCACTCACACTCACGCTGGCCAGGAGCAAATCGGGGTTCACACAACCAGGGGGAGCCAGGGATTGAACCGCCGACCTTCCGATTAACGGCCAACCGCTCTACCTCCTGAGCCACAGCTGCCCCTTATTATGGATGTGGTGTTACTATCCAAATAGGCTGAAACCTATTGAAGTTTATCCAACGAAGGTTGCCCTTGACCTCAGCCTCATAGTTATCCAATGAAGGTTGACCTCAACCTTTGTTGGACCTGGATGACTGAGAACCATCACAGACATATTGAAGCTTAGTGATTTTGTTCCAGATTTGTTGCTGTAACAGTACATTCCATAAAACCACTAAAATATTATAGTCTAATACTATTTTACAAAATATATATGAGCAAAAAATGTATACACACTATGTGAATTAATGAAAAGCGTTTACTATTCAATTCAAGAAAGCTTTATTGGTATGAGCATGATGACAATATTCCCAAAGCCACATACATACACATATAAAAGCAGAATGATAAAGTTGAACAGAATTGAAATTAAATAAGATAGTTGACGTAATGATTCCAGACAGAAAAGGAGTTGGTGTCTTCACTGGCCATCCCTCAGGTTGTGACAGGCTGCTACATATACTGCCAGTACGGCCAAATCTTTGTTCTCTCCCAGAATGTGCTGTAGTTTTTCTTCATTTGTGTAGTTTTGAAACTCAGGGAGGATTGAGTTGAATTTACTGAATGAAAATTGGTTATTGCTGTTTGATATTCATGCCAATAAAGCTGAACTGAATTGATTTGATTCTCTAATTTCAGTATATTTGGTACATTGGGTTAAGAAGTGCAACTCAGTCTCTGCATCCCCTAGACTGCAGTGCAAGCACAGCCTCTCCTCTCTGGGCAGCCAGGTCTGCCTGTGTCTGCCTTTTTTGATGGCGAGGCTGTGCTCACTGATTCTGTACGCTGTCAGGGTTTTCCTGTGTTTTAGTCTTTTTAGTGTGCTCAGGTAAGCAGTAGTTGTATATTTGTGTTTTAGGACCGAATTGCGTTGTAGTTTGTGTTGTGTTGTAGTGACTTCTTTCCAGTGCTTTATGTAATTTTCCTTTTCAGTGGCGGTGATTTTGTTGGGTCTGATGGTCCTGGCTAGTGTGTTGCTGTCCTGAGCCCCTGTGATGTGAGCTGGTGTTAAACCACTGAGTCCCCGGGGCGAGTTGGTTCAGTGGGCTCCTTCTTTTTTCCAGCTCTTGGCTTTTTAGAGCTGTGTAGTGGAGTGAGTGTGAATCACTCATTTTTAGTTGTTGCCAGGTGTTTGAATGCTCTTTTTTGCATTTTGATAATAATTGTTGGGCATTTTCCTCTGGACCCAGAGGATACTCTTGCAGACCTCTGCATGCAGGTGCAATGCAGTTTCATTTTGTGAATGGACCCCACAACTCACAGCCATAAAGTGCAATGGGTTCAATAATTGATGTAAATAGTTTAATCCACGATTGAATTGCTAACTCTAATTGGAATGACCTCTTGATGGCATAAAATTCTCTTCTTGCCTTTTCTGTAAGTTCCTTCACAGCCAAGCCAAAGTGTCCTGTTGAACTGATAGTTATGCCTAAATAAGTGTAGTTGTTTGTTAAATTTTGATGTTGCCAATTGTAAAATTGTTGGTGTTTCCCTGTAGCCTGGAGTGTTTTTGAAAGATTAAAACTTTGTTTTTTGGTGGATTTATTTTCAGTGCCCATGTTTGACAAAATATTTTGAGTACATCCATGCTGTGCTGCAAGCCCTGTTTTGTTGGTGACAGTAAAACCAAATCATCTGCGTAGAGTAAATACTTGATTTTAGTGTCCATCAGAAAGAGTCCTGGAGCTGTAGAGTTTTGTAATTCAATTAAATTATTATATAGTGCCAAATCACAACAGTTATCTCACAGCGCTTTTCATAAAAGAGCAGGTCTAGACCGTACTCTATTATGTTATTTACAGAAGCCCAACAATTCCCACCAAGAGCAAGCACTAGGCGACAGAGGCAAGGAAAAACTTCCTTTTAAGAGGCAGAAACCTCAAGCAGAACCATGGCTCAGGGTGGGCGGCCATCTGCAAGAGAGGGCAAGAGAGGAACAGAGAGAAAGAGAGAGAGAGGGATGGAAGGAGAGAGAGAGAGGCAGCATACACAATATACACACAGAGGTACAGTACAATAATCGCAATGTTAATAATTATAATTACAATAGGACTAGTAACAATAGTCGTTGCAGCAGAGGGTGTCGAGCAGGAACACGGGGCAGCAGGTAACTCGCAACCACAGATCCAGACTCCACAGCTCCAGAGCCAGAAACACCTGCAGGAAGTGATAGGAGGAGAGAGGAGAGGGACGAGAAAGCTCAAGACTATGGGAAAGGGAAGAAGTCGAGTTAGTAACATGCATTAATGGGATGAGGTTGCATACAGAGGGAGAGAAAGTGGAGGAGAGAGGAGCTCAGTGCATCATGGGAAATCCCCCGGCAGTCTAGGCCTATAGCAGCATAACTAAGGGATGGTTCAGGACTCACCTGAGCCAGCCCTAACTATAAGCTTTATCAAAGAGGAAAATCTCAAACCTACTCTTAAATGTGGAGATGGTGTCTGCCTCCTGAACCCAAACTGGAACCTGGTTCCACAGGAGAGGAGCTTGGTAGCTGAACGCTCTGGCTCCCAGTCTACTTTTGGAGACTCTAGGAACCACAAGTAACCCTGCATTCTGGGAGCGCAGTGCTCTGGTGGGGTAGTAAGGTACTATGAGCTCTTTAAGATAAGATGGTGCCTGACCATTAAGAGCTTTGTGGGTAAGAAGAATGATTTTAAATTCTATTCTGGATTTTACAGGAAGCCAATGCAGAGAAGCTAAGACAGGAGAAATATGATCTCTTTTCCTGGTTCCTGTCAGAATACATGCTGCAGCATTCTGGATCAGCTGAAGAGTCTTAATGGAAAAAAGGTGGTCCTTGAAATTTGCTTAATGTGAGACATAAACGACATGTCCTGATCAAAGATAACTCCAAGATTCCTCACAGTGGTGCTGGAGGCCAGGGCGATGCCATCAAGGGAAACTAAATCTTTAGTTAAGGTGTTTGCCAGCTTGTTAATGTAGATGTTGAATAGTTTAGGACTCAAACTGCAGCCCTGTCACACCCCCCTCAGTTGGTGGGAAGTTTGACTGCACACTTACTGCTGGAGGACAGAGATTTAATAACATCATACAGTTTCCCCCTTGTTTAACAGTATAAATTTGCTGTCCCCTCAATAACACATCACACAACCATTAATGTCTAAACCACTGGCAACAAAGTGAGTACACCCCTAAGTGAAAATGTCCAAATTAGGTATTTACACTCACTACTTAACATTGTAGCAAAGTGTCATTTCTTCAGTGTTGTCACTAGGGGTGTAACGGTACACAAATCACGGTTCCGCATGTACCTCGGTTTAGAAGTCACGGTTCGGTTTATTTGTTTGGTTTATTTTTCGGTACAATAAGGGGTTGGATAGCAAACTTGATTATATAATATATAAATTAAAAAAGAATAATAAATAAAATACTGTTGAAAACTACTACTAAGTTCTCCACTAAATTAAATATCAAAACAATACCACATATAGCTAATAAAATATAATAAAAAATATAAATAAATATGGATTACAGTGCAGCATTCTCTTCTTCTTTTATACCGTCTATGAGCATTATCAATTCCAACTAGAAGGCCTGCTCAGATAAAAAAAAACTTTTACGATGTCTAAAGTCTGGCGTTTGCACTGTGCTCGTATTTGTTTTTTTCATTTGTCACAAAGACGTTCTCATTCATTGAGAACATTAGTGAGTTATCAAGTTTGACGTGTTGCCAGAAACATACCTGATCAGTACTGAGAAATGTCAGCCCACTGCTTTCATCTTATTGACTTGTCTTTGTCTGTTGTTGTATTTCTATTAGGAAACCGAAGTGTTCCCAAAAAGGAGACTTTAACAACAAGGGAGGGTCTTCAAGCTCTGGCTTCTCTGCACTGGCCATGATGCTCAATTCGCTAGTTAGCAAGAGGCTTTTATTTTATTAAGGGTCCAAGCCAGCGGAGCGGGGAACCCTATTGTAATCATTCTCGTTTAATTCCACTACTGCAGCCTAGATGGTAACTGCTAGGGATGCCATTATTAGGGGCACTATATAAGCATGACCATCTCTGGACCAAGCTGATAAAATTTGTAGAGGAAAGTTTGATAAAAATATTTGCTAAAACGCTAAAAACAGGAAGTGACATCATATCTTAGGTTTGGAATGGCCGATCAGCACCAAACTTGAGGACCTTATGTGCCATGCTACCCTGGATGGGCTGTGCAAAATTGGTGCAGTTAGCCCCTAGTTGGCGCTATTCAAAAAAATATCCCTATGACTTACATTAATTTTTTATCTCCGTAACTACAACTCCGATTGATATCAAATTTGGATAATTTGTTCCCCATGGGCCCCTGATGATACCTGAAAACTTGGATGCAATTCGGGCTAAAGGTGGCACTATAATCGAAGCTCAAATACCGTGGAAAAACCCCATTCATTTCAATGGGATGTCGAACCAACGCACATTTTGCCTCATAACTACTATATCTCACAATCATAAACCTTATGTCTACGTGTTTAGGGGATACTGCCAGTTCCTATGGTATAGGACACGCCTCTGTGCGATGACGTTTTCATTTCTCTACATCCCAAAAACTGGAAAACATATTTTAATTAACTCCCCGAATCCACAAGTTTACATGTTCCATTAGTTTCCAGGGAGATACTGATTTTATATAGTGACTTTGCTGCTGTAAACTTTACTTTTGTTGCTGCTCTGAAAACAGTTTGTTATAATAAAATATAAAATTTGATTACTGTTCTGAAGTTATTCTTTTTTAAATAACATATTTTTAAAAGGCAATTATTTAGTAATGAAAAACCAATAAGAGTGTAGATAAAGAACAGAATCAATAAATAATATCAATAAATAGTATCAAAAAATAATATCAATATTAACAATATAAAATAAATGCAAATGGAAAAGACAAGACCTACAATGAAGTGATCCTACTAACAGATTGATATATCGTATTCCCCTGTGCCGTAGAACTCCATTTTTGTGTGAAAAGCATTAAGAAAAACCTAAAGTAGCCATGCGGACCCCAAACAGACCACTTAAGTGATTGATTAGGGCTATCATTGTATTTCTGGCCACCAGTCCAATATGAACTTGCTTTTTATCTCAGTTTTTACTTTTTAGTGCTGAAATCAAGTCAGCATCAGTTTGATAAAGTGTGTGTGTGTGTGTGATGTATTTGTATTTTATTTCTTTGTCTCTGCAGGTGCTGAGAGGGTCTTTAGAGATTATGGTGCATCGGACTAAGTCCCTAATGATGGATTCAGACAATGACCATCATTCCACTCTTCATGACCACAACCAGCTTCTGCTGAGACAGCAACTTGAAGCACTTGACAGGGCTGTATCTATGCTGCAGGTGACCTGTCTGATTTATTCTACAGGTCTTACAGGTCTTAGTTAGTTTACACCTGCTTTATCAATGGGCTAGAAATGTGTAATGCATTTATATTGTTGGATTAATTCTTCTTATAAGACTTATAACAACGAGATGAGCATGATTGTGGCATTGTGCAAACCAAAGAATGTAGATGTCATCTGATTCTGATTCCACTGCTCTGTGTCATTGTCCATCAGACCTTCTCTTGTCTAGTGCTGAAGACCTTTTCCAGGGACTGCAAGAGGATTTCAGGGGTGATCTTTGAACAGACCATGCCTTCTTCTGGACACTGGAGTCCCAGCCTCAGGGCAGGTACTGAACTCTGACTGTTATTAATGGAGAAGACATAAACTCAGACAACAGATATTTGCTGAACCCCAACGACTCAGAAAGATATGTTAAAGGAATACATTATATGGGCTGTTGTATGTCCGTCATCCATCCATCGTCAACCACTTATCCTGCGTACAGGGTCGCAGGGGGGCTGGAGCCAATCCCAGCTGAGATCGGGTGAAAGGCGGGGTGCACCCTGGACAGGTCGCCAGTCTATCGCAGGGCTGTTGATGTTAATTTTGGAATGGCCCTCCCTTCATTTCATCACCCAAAGCCACTGAAAACCTGGCTTCGAGCCAGTTAGCCCGGAAGTACTTAACACCTAAAGTTTAGTGCTGCTTTGCTGCATGCATGTTCTATTCCTCAGTCATCCAGAAGTTCACTTCATGACTCTTTATGGTCATTTCTAAATGTTAGGGTTTGAATGGGATCACATAAAGTTAGTAAAGTAAAGCAGTGCAGCTTTTTCCAGGTAGTCATGCTGAGCGTGCCGTGAACAGCTGCAAGCAGATGGCACAGTGCGAGTGAAAATCAGGGAGGCAGTTTTACAGGCTCAGGCAGCACTTAGACACAAGGATGTTGTACGACAGGTACAGAGCAAAGGGGGGGTTGGATTGAGTTGAACAGCCTTAATGGGGCAAAGCAAAGTAATAGGCAGGAGGAAACTGGTTATAGAGGAGAGTCTCCAATATCTTTGTCAATGGTTAGGCGAGGATCCAACATGTCCTTTGTGTTGAGGTATAGTTTAAAGAGGTGGTATTATGCTCATTTTCAGGTTCAAAATCTTAATTAGGGGTTGTACCAGAACAGGTTTACATGGTTTAATTTTGAAAAAAACACATATTTTTCTCATACTGCACATTGCTGCAGCTCCTTTTTTCACCCTGTGTGTTGTACGCTCCGCTCTTGAGCTACAGAGTGATGCATCTTACTTGTACAAAATCTTTGTTGGGAGTTGCACATGCACAGTTCCCAGGTAAGGACTACTAGCCAATCAGAAGCAGAGAAGGGCGGGTCATAAGAAACAAGGTAGTGTGATCCAAATCAAAGCCGCTTCAGACTACGACCGTAACCTAGAAGATGGTATAAGTTACTCAAGTCCACAACCACACAACATCATTGTTCCACATCTTACCATTAGGACTAAACGTTGAACTGTTGCTGGTGTTCTGAAGATCTATGCTGCCTTGCCAACGTAATGACAACTGCTGCGACGTAATGTTCAGTGCGACACATACACCAGCGATCCACACAGCTCTTAAAATATATACAGTCTACGGTTAAAACGTTTAAACATTCCTCAGAATGTAAAGACAGATAAGCGGTATGAAAACTTTCCAGCTGTGTTTTCCTCTGCCGTTGTTGCTGTGTGACGGCGGGAGCAGAGGGCTCTGTGAGCGGGCGGCTGGCCGCAGCCACTTGCGGAGCTCCTCAACTCCGGAAATATTCAAGCACATTTTTGTTCCGCCATCACTTTTCATAAAACTGTCAATATTCGAAATCTACACAGCTGATTTCTCACCTCAAAACTTCTCAGAAGTGGATTTAGTGATTAAATTCCATACGAAACTGTAAAATATAAAACTTTCTGTTGCTGGCCTCTGTCTGGCACGCGCAATGATGATGCAGTGAATAGTGAATATTCTCTCTGACCAATCAGCAGTCTGTCATGTTTTCACGTTACATTTTAGTATCCCTCAGCTCGCTTAGAACCTCGATGGAGGTAAGGTGCTACGAAAAAAAGTACCTGGAAGCAGGTACAGGTACAACATTTCTACAATGGAAAAACAAACAAAGGCTAGTCGAGCCAAAGGGCCTCCGCTCAGACTAGCTTTGTTTGAGGGCGTGCCTGACCCCGCTAGCCGCTTGGCAAGCCTTATGACGCGTTTTCATTGTGACGTCACAAGTAAAGGAAGTGAAGGGCTGGACTACAAACGAGCTGTTTTCAAGCGGTTCAGAGCAGAGCTTTCTGTGGGAGATGGGAACTCCCTTTGGGCTGGAGTTTGGGCTTTTTCACTTTGCAAACCTGTTACATGCACAAAAAAGATATATAACTCAATAAAGGAGAGGGAAAAAGCCAAAAGCATAATACCACCTCTTTAACTTAGTATATGAGCTAGTATATCAATACTATATCTTGAATATCTGCTGAATTTATATCCGAATGTAAAATAAGCAGTAGCATCTGCTGAGAGCAAGCAATTAGAAGTAACCTCACTGGATGCAAAATGAGAAAAACTCAGGCAGCAAGCAATTTTGAACAAGCATGATCTAGGGCAGCTAAGGGCAGGAAGTGATGATGGAAAATGAAAACAGCTTATAAAGGAGACGGTGCCCACTAATCTCAGAGCAGATTTTGTGTGCTAAAAAACACTGTGCATTCAATGCAGCTTAAAGCTAGGTTAGGTCAGGGTTAGAGAACAGCGTTCCCTCTCAGAGGGCCCAGTAGATTTATGACGGCACAGCCTGGTCCCCAGTGCAGGGCCCGGTCATAGGACAAAACATTTAACAAGAATACTGGGCTTCCAAAGGAGTTCTCACCCAATGTTTTGGTCCATTTCACTGTGAACTGATCATTCTGTGTTTCTCTGTTGGTGCACAGGTTTTCCCAGCAGTCCCAGTGAGTATGCATCTCTTGCAGCTCAGACTGTGGTTGGTCAGGTTTTAGAGGGTGTGGCACCATTGTCTGATGATGCCCGTGTCCAAGCACTGAGTATAACAATGACAGCTTTCATGGAGGCATGGATGGAACACATCCTGAAACAGAAGATCAAATTCAGGTATGTTGTGGTCATGGCATCATACAGTGTCCACCACAGTGTTATCCACCAAGTCCATGACACCATTTAAAACAGACATTAAGAACTTTTATGGAATGGGGCACACTGTAGTAGTGTTGTAGTTAAGACCACCCAAACCGAGACCAAGTCATGACCAAGACCAGAGTGTATCGAGACCGAGACAAGACCAAGACTTTGAGGGACTGAGACCAAGGCTACATCCACACAACTATGTTTTCATTTTAAAACGCAGACCTTTTTCCACGTTCCAGACTAAAACGGTGAATCCGAACACCTAAAACTCCGGGGACAGCTGAAAATGGAAGACTTTAAAAATGACGACGCAGACACTCACATTTGGCTACCTGATTGGGTCATGCAAAGCTCTGTACTCCTGTGTTGCTTTCAGTAACAGTAACACCTCGTCTGTCAGTCCATGCAAAAAAATCTCTGTTGTGGTTCTTCGCCATTGCTATTCTTTGTTCGTCTGTAGTAGTAGGCTTTCTTCTTTCGCTGTATCTTCTGCAACTGTGGAGTAGACAGTCTGTTTCCTGTTTACACCAGCAAGTGCATTGCCAGTTTACGTGAATGGCCACTAGATATGCATTTCAGTCATTTTAATATAGACAGAAATCAATTCTGATACGCAGCTAAAACGCTGGAGTGGACGGAGATAGTTTTCATTTTAAAACTCTGTTTCAAACAAAAACGTAGTAGTGTGTATGTAGCCCAAGCCAAGACCATGACCAAAGGAGGGCGAGACCGTCTCAAGACCAAGATCAGTGTCCCACACTACATGACACACAATAAAATGTGGAATGTGATCATACAGGGTACCCACGGGGTCTTAAAAGTATTGAATTTAATATTCTCAAAATGAGGCCTTAAAAGTATTGAATTTCATTTACAAAGTCTTAAATTTTGTTAACGAAGGTCTTAATTTTTGTCCTTTCGTAGAATTAAATAAATACTGTAACATCATAAAGAGCTGTCAAATGTATAAATGTTTTGTGTGTGTTATGTTACAGTTGACTACTTGACCACTCAGCTGACTGTCAGCTCTACACTAACTTGCCACCACTCTCCTTACAGAGCAGTGTCATCATTATTTTAGCCACTTTTCACAGTTACCTTTGTATACTGTTAATAGTATTTGCTGTTCAATTTTGTATTGTATTGTATTGTTTGTTTTGATCATTCCAATAGCCTAATCACCTTAGTGTTTTTAGAAATCGAGTTACCTTAGCCAGTTATCCTTGTTGGCTACTAAAATGAAGAAAAGCATTGTCAAGCTTCTAAGGAGATCCGTCAGCGCTACAGAGTTTTGTCAGACCCTCTCTGTGAGCTTTCACTCCATACCTGCAGGAAAACCGGGAGGGGGGTATGGGGGAGAAAAAAAGACGAGAGACAACCAGCCGAACAACAGCAACAAACAGTACTGAAAAGAAAACATATGCGGGAGGAAAATAGTCAAGCAGAACAAACAAAATGACACAGCACAGCAATTCGGAAGTGTAATAATGACAATTAGTTAAAATAATAAACTCGATGAAAAGCATAAATAACAACGCAACTATCAGTTTGGCAACCACAGACAACCCAAATTCGTGTGTAGATCCTGGAATGGAATAAAGTTACAGTCCTGAATGACATGCTCTAAATGTCTTATCTCTTTATTGTACCACAATGGGGATTTTAGTTTTTTCTTATTTTGCAGGATGTCAGGATTGTTCCAGATTGGAGTAAGTCTGCATGGGATAGGTGAAGACCTAGATATTGTGAGAAATTCCCACCAGTCTGCTAGGGATGTGCTCATGTTAATTAATACTTTTAAAGCAGGTATGATGTTTGAAACTGGAGCTGATGAATGACATATCGGAAACTTTAATTTCTTTACAGAATGTTTTTTATATGGCCGTCCATGAGTTGTCCAGTGTGCTCTGATTGATCCATTTTAAAATATATTGTAGTGCGTTTTTAAACTGATTCGTGGGGGTTTATTTTTCCACAATAATTTAGAGATATTTGAGTCCAGTAATTTAAACCAGACAGCAGAGGGCTGGGTGCATAACGTTAAAAACAGGTAATTGATTTTAATTAGGACCATGGTGGTGACTCCTCCCTTGAGTGATATGGGCAATTTTGTCCATCGCACAAGTTCATCCGTAGAGGCATGTAGTTTATCCCTTTCAGTTCTGACAGCCTGGAGAAAATATTGACACCCTGATATTTAATATTCCCTGACTTTAGCGGTGTGGTAGATATACTCTGGAAATCACACATTACAGGTAAAACTATGGATTTACTCCAGTTAATGGAGCAGTCTGAGATGGATGAGAATTTATCCATAAGTGTGATTGTCTCAAAGAAAAGTTTGTGAGTTTAGGAGGAAAAGTAATACATCTGCATAAAGGCTTATCTTGTGGTGTATATTTTCTGTTTGAATTCCTTTCATTTTTAAGAGCTTTATTATTCGGTATATGTAACAGGGCTTCGTGGAGTGTAGCTATTGAAACAAATAAATCCAGAGCCCTGATCTGTTCATCATCTAACCTTGGCAAATCTGTATTGTTCAGAAATACATCGATGGCTGGATGGATCAATTTGTGATGTATATAAGGTTTTATAAAAATCTCTTTTTCTTTATTCAATTGTAATTGGTTGGCTAAGAATCTGCTGGATTTATTGGCATGTTCAAAGTTCTGAGCCTGTGCACTCAACTTTATTGCTCGACCATGGCGAGGCCTGTTGTGGAAGCTGTCCTGTTTAATCACTGTGTGGTCTTGGCCACTGTGCTGCATCTCAGTTTCAGGGTCTTGGCAATCTTCTTATAGCCTAGGCCATATTTATGTAGAGCAACCATTCTTTTTTTCAGATCCTCTGAGTTTTTTGCTATGAGGTGCCATGTTGAACTTCCATTGACCAGTATGAGGGAGTGTCAGAGCATCAAATTTAACACACCTGCTCCCCATTCATACCTGAGACCTTGTAACACTAACGAGTCACATGACACTGGGGAGGGAAAATGGTTGATCCATCTCCAATAAACCTCCTTCTTATCAGGAACAGGACTTAGCGTCGCTCCAGGACCTCTCATGGAAACTGGTCGTTCACGCTGAAGTTTGTTCCTCTCAGCTCTCTGCCGCTGCTTTTAACCAGTTCCTTCTGCTTGAAGTGTTCAAACTTCGCAACGATGGGCCTGGACCTCTGATTTTCCGGCTGCTGTCCTTCCAGGCGGTGAACCTGGTGGATGCTGATGTTCTTCACGGTGTCCACGGGAGCTTCATCTGATTTTGAATGAAGCGTTTTACTGTCTCTTCTGGGACGTCGTCCGCCTGCCCCAGGATACCTGAGATGACCAGATTGTCCCGCATACTGTGAGCCTGGAGATTGATGATCGTTTCTCTAATGTTTTTATTTTCCATGGAGACCCCTGTCATTCCCTCTGTGAGAGATTTTACTGAACCTCGTTCACCTTCGTTTTCCACTGCAAGTTCAGCCAGTTTCTGGCTGAATTCCAGGGATTCCCGTAGAGCCTGAATCTCTTTGTGAAGGACTTCCACCAAAATAATCAGGCATCAAAGCTGAACAGTTTCTTGTTTGAGTCCAGGATGTCTGCGAACTCACTGCTTTGCGTGGAGACAGCTACAGGTGAGTCTTCAGTGCGGTTTCTCTTGGGCTTCCCCATGACTAAGGGGACCAAAAACTCATCTTCGAGGTCCTCCAGAGCGATGGGATTGTTTTGATTGTTATTGGCTTAAATTTGCAGATTGTCCGATTAATAAAATGTTTGTTTAGCTGCGCGCCACCATGTTTGAATTGCACAAAGTCTCACGAGATTACACAAACGCTCATTGTGTCATCTTATCCTCACTGTCCATCTCTCTCTCACTCAGATATTTTTCAATTAAAATTCAATTGAATTCAGATTTTCACTGTGCAGTCTAAACCCATTGACAATTAAGTTGTACAAAGTTGTCCCATTGGTAGCGTTGGAAATATATGATTTGCAAGAAACAGGAAGTTGTTATAACTTCAGCGTACATCTCACATCTGCACCAAACTTTACATTTATAATAATATTCCTGCCCTGAACACATCCATATGCCAACATTCACTCAAAGTCATAGTGCCACCTGCTGGCAACAGGAAATGACACGATTTCCGCTGTGATGTACTACTCCAAGTAGGTTAGCCATATCAACTTTAAAACTGTCCCAGAAAACCCTCAACACATTGATGTTATGTTGTAAAGCTTGTGAGTTTTCCTTCAATGACATACCTGTCGCGTGGCAGTGAAGTTCAATGCTTTGCCGTTAAACAAGAGGTCATTGTTACTTCACTGTACATGCTCAATTCTATATCAAACTTGACATGCTTGATGGCGGTCCTGCATACAGAGGGAGAGAAAGAGGAGGAGAGAGGAGCTCAGTGCATTATAAGAAGTCCCCCGGCAGTCTAGGCCTATAGCAGCATAACTAAGGGATGGTTCAGGACTCACCTGAGCCAGCCCTAACAATAAGCTTTATCAAGGAAGAAAGTCTTAAGCCTACTCTTAAATGCGGAGATGGTTTCTGCCTCCTGGACCCAAGCTGGAACCTGGTTCCACAGGAGACAAGCTTGAAAGCTGAACCCTCTGGCTTCCATTCTACTTTTTCAAGTAAACCTGCATTTTGGGAGTGCAGTGCTCTGGTGGGGTAGTAAGGTACTATGAGCTCTTTAGCTAAAACAGGAGAAATGTGATGTCTTTTCCTGGTTCCTGTCATAACACGTGCTGCAGCATTCTGAATCAGCTGAAGAGTCTTAATGTATACTGATGTATACTGTATACTAAAGGAAGCATATTTAAAGTGAAGAGGATTGGTCCAAGCACAGATCCTTGTGGAACTCCATGACTAACTTTGGCGTGCATGGAGGATTCATCGTTAACATGTACAAACTGAGATCGATCTGATAAATAGGACTTAAACCAGCTTAGAGCGGTTCCTTTAATGCCAATGAAATGGTCCAGTCTCTGTAATAGGATCTAATGGTCAATGGTATCAAATGCTGCCCTAAGATCTAATAAAACCAGTACAGAGACAATCCTCAAATAAACTATTGCTATGTAGAAAGTCACACAACTGTTTGGTAACTGCTTTCTTAAGGATCTAGAGAGACATGGAAGGTCAGATATAGGTCTATAGTTTGCTAAAACATCTGGATCAAGGTTGGGCTTTTTCAGAAGAGGTTTAATTACAGCTACTTTAAAGTACTGTGGTACATAGCCTGTTGATAAAGACCGATTGATCATATCGAGTGAAGAAGTGCTGACTAAGGGTAAAACTTCTTTAAGCAGCCTAGTCGGGATGGGGTCTAAAGCTGCGTTTCGACCAAAGGAACTATACCCCGGAACTCACTGCGATTCTGTGAGAACATTATTAAATGTTCAATTTCAATACCATACACCAGAACAAGTTTGAGGATGTGGTTAACAGTGAGTCGGTTTATTAACACTTTGAATCTAATAGAGAGATAAACGCAGTACTAAGGCTGTCATTCTCAACGTCCACATGAATATTAAAATCCCCTACAATAATAACTTTGTCCGTTTTTAAGGACTTAAGTTGACAGAAACTCTGCAAATTCAGATAAGAATTCAGAGTACGGACCAGGTGCTCGGTACACTATAACAACTAGAATTGGTAGCAGTGATTTCCAACTTGGGTGTGAAAGACTAAGAACAAGGCTTTCAAATTAGTTATAATTTAGTTTATGTTTAGAGCTGATTAGTAGGCTAGAGTCGAAGATAGCTGCAACTCCACCTCCTTGGCCTGTGCCTCGAGGAATGTGAGTGTTAATATATTATATATATTCTCTCAGGTGAAAAGAAAGGGAGACAGCGCTCCGTGAGTGAACGGCAGGCGCTCTATGGATAGTAACCATGGCAACGGCTTCTATGCGCTACACAGCCGGAGCCTTTTTAACGTAAATTAAAATTATACATAGGCTAACTTAACCTAATAGCCCTGCATTTAGTCCTGATAACTATTTAGATTCTGGAAACTCAAACAGCAAGGATCAGTCTCTCTTCCAATGATTTGTGCTGCGCGTCGCGTACAAAAAGTTCAAGACAATTCAACTTCGGCAGCAGGCGGGCGTGTGCGTGAGGCGAGCACGACCGCGACAGTTTCACGGGAACGCATGCAGTACACCTTGTGCTCGACCACTTCACCTCACTGTAACAGGGAAACTTGGTACTGAACATAGACTGTTTCTGCTGCTCCCTGATAAAAGAAAAATGTTTCTGCTGATACCTGCTCAGAAAAAATCCCAAGAAAACTGGACTCTGATGGTAACTTGTTTTAACAAGCTAGATAAAAGGTAATTCCCTGGCAGTGGCAAATAGCTTTGGTTTAATATTTGATTTGATTACAATAATGTATAAGTTGAGATTTCTAAGAAATATTTTATTGCTACTGTGTAATGGGAATACTGCTGGTAAAAAGCACCTTATTTGTTTAGTGTTTGCAAACCACGTTATTGCACTTCTGTGTACATAGCAGTACTTTTAAATCAAAAGTGTGCAATACACTACAGTAGAATTCATTATTCAATTTTGCAAGTAACAATACGATTAATCGCAAGAAAATCATGCGATTAAAATCTTTTTATTTTTGCCTAATATTAATTCATTTACTAGTACACCTTTAGAGGAGAGAGATCTGATGTTTAAGAGTCCACATTTAATGATCCAATTCTTTTGCAGTGTTGCACTTGTGGTTTTAATTTTAGGTTTTTATGCACAGCTCCTCTTCTGTTTACCTTTGATTTAAATCATTTAAATGGTTGGGGGCAGACACTGTCACTATGGGGTTCTGACTAGGTAACTCCTGAAATGGAGGAGCAGTGTGTTAGACTGTGACTCTGCGTAGGGTTTTTGTTGGGTAACTGCTGAAATAGAAGGGCAGAGAAGTGTGTTAGACAGCGACTGCCTCCTGTTGTCAACTGTAGGTTGTTATGGATTTGGTCCACTAATAAACTTGGCAAGATTTAGCCAGCAGTTTCAAATAAGACTCGATGCCTGTAAACGGGGAAAAAACTTGAAAATTGAAGACTAGAGATGATACATTGGCCCCCCACATTTCATACAGCTGCATAAAATGTACATCAGGGGCTGCTGCTTTGAGATATTGTAGGGGGCGCTATTGAGCCATTTTTCCACAACCACGCTGCGCAACAATAGTAGACTATAAAGTTTTACAGTTTTCTGAGGTTGTAAGCATCCCTGACCATGTGAAAGCTAAAAAGTCTCACATTTTTGTCCCTATGGTTATAAAGTGTTATAAAAATATGCTTTTTTGAAATTTTGTAGGGGGCGCTATTGAGCCAATTTTCCACAACCATGCCCCCAAACCATATCAGCCAATGCACAACAACGGTTCTGATGAGTGTGCAAAGTCTTGTGAGGGTTTGACTATCCCTGGCCATGTAACTGCTAAAAAGGCTTTGGGGGGTGCTATAGAGCCAACATGCCCTCAGTCTTAAAAATGACATCAAATCGAAACATTACCAGTTTGAGACTGGCTGCAAAGGTTTGTAGCACTTTGAGTACATTAAAGGCCTCAAATATCCATCCATCCATCCATCCATCGTCAACCGCTTGTCCTGCATACAGGGTCTCAAATATCTGTTTAAATAATTGAATATGATGCAGGAAGCGCAACATGGCTTACTTCCTGTTGAGCAAAATGTCATTAAAAAGCAGAAATGTGGATTTTGCAATAAGACCAATAATCCCACCAAATATCATGAAAATCAAATAAACTTTTTCCAAAACGTGGTGTTTGTTTAGGGGCGCTATTAAGCCCCCTGGCCACACGCGACCCCAATCACTGCAGAACATTGGATTTCCCACCAGACCGGAGGTGTGTGCACCTCCGAGGATTTGAATATCCTAAGCAAAAACAATAGGTTCCTTGCACTTTGGTGCAACCTTTGGTTGGTTGACCATAAATATATAAGTTTATTCCAACACAAATCTGAAATCAAAGATCTTTGTACAGCTTGCATATGTGGAAACCGTCAGAACCACAAACGAGCCTCAGCTTTATATGGTACCTAATCCTTGACGAAATCATGTCATAAGGGAGAGGTAGACAAAGCGTCTGTGACTGACGGCCAAGGCCAAATTTCGTATCATTTACCTCAGCCAACAAACCACTATTTTGTCAACCTGCATTTGCACATGGTGACATTTAAATGTATGCTGTGTGTGTGTGTGTGTTTGCCTCTCCTTCAGTGTACATAACTGGGTTCCTGGTGCAGCAAGCTACTGATATATTCTTCCCCCCTGAGCAGTGTGTTTGTTGTTCCTCAGTGTGCAAGGAGCTCTGCAGCTGAAACAGGACTTTGATTCTATCCGAGAGTTGATCAGGTCAGACAAGTATGGGCTGTCAGCTGAACTCCACCAACGACTGCTGAGCCTCCGGTATCACAATCTGTTTTACATCCTGCCTTTTAGATAGCTATTCATGATGAACATCACCACACTGTAATGCAGCTTAAGTTTATCGAACAAGACCAGGCACATATATTGATTATCAACATAAGTGTTGTTTCATGTTTGTAATGAACTGTGAATGTTCAAGTGAATTGAATTAATGTGTTTCACTGTAGAGTAAAATCAGGCCTACATTTCTGTGAATGGTCACAGCTGTACTATCTACCACACATTTTTGAGACAGTTGCTATAGTGGGAATTGGCTCCAATTTTAAGTGTGCATTATTTTAGACCTGATCAAACTGTGCCTTCTTTTTGGTCACTGAACAAGCTATCCTCAAATACAAACATATGAAATAAAATTCACTTCTATATGTTGAGAATATAAAAAACTGAAACTTTGACTGAGCTGAACTACATTTACATTACATCTATTTATTCATATTGACATTTTCCAATATAGATTCCTTAAAAATGTAGTCTTAAAGCCATGTTCCTAATTTGGAAAGGCCAAGGTGAAGAGAACCTACACGCATGGTGATCATTTTCATACAACTTTTGGTAATCCTCTGTCTGCAGGGTTTTTCAGCAAGTGGATTCAGCAGTGGTATGTCTGCTCCAGCAGCCACAGGCCAAACCATACCTACAGTCCAGAGCCTGGGAGCCCTTCACACGCTGCTGTGAGTATTCATTTCAGCTCAACTGTATTTATATGTGTCAATTCATAACAGAAATGATCTCGTTGCACTTTTCATACATAGCAGGTCTAGACCGTACTCTTTGTAAAGTATCACACCAGTCAGTCCGAAAGTCAGGGAATCAAACAATGTTCAAAGTCTAGAACTTTATAACCTGGATAACACTTTCTGTTCATGATCATTTCAAGTAGAAGTTGGCAAACTGAAATCACATTTTATCCTTTGCTGTGGGTCATTGGGACTATTTTTTCTGTACAAAGTACTTGAAAATCACGTTCTTTGGATTATCATAAATAATGAGGTCACTGCTCCTGGAAAGGCAAGTTGCATTTAAGATTTTCAAATGTCATTTTTATGCTTGCTGCACAGGACTAGGGATGAACCGAATGTTCAATCACCAAAATTAATCGGCCGAAAATAGCAAAAATGGCACTTTCGGTGTTCGGCCTAGTAAGTCAAAAGACTGATTAAATTTAACCAAACAATTACGTTGACATGTTGGCAGTGTGGAAGCATTTCAAAGTGTCAGAGAAAGACGCTTTTGCAGACACTGTTCTGCTGAATTGTCTCCTAGCACATCCACTCCATCTGTGGCTGACTTCTTAGAAAAGGCAACAAACGGTCACAATGTAATTTACATTATCCGACCTTGGACCCACCCGCCATAGTCTGAGTAAAAAGCACATTTTGACCATGTAATTTTTTTTGGTACAAAAAAATGTGAATGTACTTTGTGATGGCAATTCGAGTTTTCAAATAAACATTTTAGGCAAACACTTGTCTTTCTGTGTCTTTCTGTCGCAAAGACACTCAGCCCTAGTACAGACAGCACATGTTGTAAAACAATGAAAGGCATGATCCCCTGGACACATCACATACATTTACCCAGTAGCCGATAAACCAGAGGCCCTCAGTGAATGACATTAATTATATGACTGTGGAGATGGTACTCATGGAATTGCCATTACAACTTGTTCGGTGTTTGGCAAATGTTTTCTTTATATTTGCCTTTGGCTTCAGCCAAGAATTTTCATTTCGGTGCATCCCTACACAGGACTTGTACATGACACTCACTGAATCTGTGGTAGAACAATCAGTGAATTGCAGTTTCTGACACATTCCCAACTCAGTTAACATTTGGACTCAGCTACATGCCATTTGTTGTTTTTAAGCCATTTGAGTGTATTTTTGGCTTTGTTTGGGTTTGTTGTCTTGTTGGAAATAAGCCGTCTTCCAAGTCTGTGTCAGACTGATTTCTGTATAACTGTAACATCACATGACTTCCAGTACCCTTCCAAGATCTTGCCCTCCTATGTCCACAACAGGTGGCTGCATCGCGCTCTGGACCCATGTTCTTTTGGGAAAACTCTGTGTCACAAGAAGCCAGTGGCAGTAACCCCTGTGTGTGATTTCAGGTCCAGCCAACAGCAGCAGAGACAGCATTGATGCAGTGGTGGGGAGCAGTATAACCAACCTGAGGGAGGGTGAGGACCCGGCTCAGTCTGATTCCGCAGTTGTGATCACTGACCTCCCTCCGGTGGACCCATCTACCCCCGAAGAACCCTACCTCGCTCCAAGGTACAATTTTACAACTTGACGATGTGGAGGCAGTTATTTCTCAGTGATTTAATTGGTGTCAGTGCTGTAAAGCTGTAATTCTTTATTAGTGTGAATGCTATGCAATAGTTATTGGTGTGAATGCTTTACAGCATTCACAACATATGTTCTTCTATCGATTCCGGAATTCTTTATTTTTATTATTGGTGTGAATGCTGTAAAGCATTCACAACATATGTTATTCTACAGCGAAATTCTTTATTATTGGTATGAATGCTGTAAAGCATTCACAACATATGTTCTTCTATCAATTCTGGAATTCTTTATTTTTATTATTCTTCCGCTCGTTTTTTTGCAACCTAATTAGTTCCACAGTTTTCAACGTAGAAATGTCATGCAAAGCTTAAAATATTCATCTCAATTAGGAATTGATTGCTTGTATTCAGAATTTTGATAACCTTCATACTTTTAAAGATATTCAAGGCATTTTTCCCCATTCAAGTGGATGGATGGAACCTTCAAAAGTCCCCATTTTCACCCATTTTCACACTTTTTCAAGGCTTTTCAACTGTTAACTACTCATTCATACTTTCAGCTACAAAGTCCATTCAAAATGGAAAAGTTTCCACATCTTTCCTTCTTTCTTCGTATTATTCAACTTTCAAATCCTATTCAAACACTTCAATCTATTCAACTTTCTTTTAAACTTTGTTACAATGAACGTCAATGAGAAAATCATTCAAACTCACTGATTCAACCTCTTCCCACCAATTCATACATTCATGTAGAAAAACCATTCCACCTTTAAAACGTTCACAAACCTTTGGAATCTTTCCAGTGAATTCAACTTTTTCACATATCTTATGCTTTTTACACAATGTCAATTCAAGTTCAAGTTTCATATCGTTTTCAGCCTGTTTTCTGAGTTTATAATGGGAGCAGATTGAGCGGAATGTTGGCAGCTAGAGGCAGAGGACCAACCGACATAATGGGAATTCACTTCAAAATCGCTGTATCGCCCACATTTTTCACTCTACATACGTAATTTTTTCACAAGTTGTAGGAAAACTTGATCTGACGATCATGTCCAACTTTGAAATTTTGACTTTCACAGCTGGTACAGTCGGCTTGAGAGTGAGAGGAGTCCCACTCAACTGTCACATAGACTCCCATACTAAAAAAGTTCTGCAGTTTCAGGAAAGAGGCAGAAAGGTGGACATTTCTATACTGCTGCTGTGAAGCCATTTTTGACAGTAGACACACCTCTGCTGTCCTCCCTGAACACCAATAGCTGCACCTCCAGTCACCAAACCACCAAGCTCCTGTAGTGTGCAGATGACACCACTCTCACTGGGCTCTTCTCTTGTGGGGGATCAGTCTGCCCACAGGTGGGAGATTCACCATCTGGGGTCCTGGAGCAGTCAGATCAATCTGGACATCAATGCTCTGAAGACAGTGGAGATGGGCGGGTAGTCCAGGAAGAGACCAGCCGCACCATCGCCATCAATCTGTGCAACTCCACACTCAACACTGTGGAGTCATTCTGCTCACCCAGAACCTCCAGCTGGAGTTGATACGCTTATGTCACCTTCATACTAATTACACGATTTCAAACTTTTCCAAATTTTCTTACCCCTTTCTAAATATTTCATGTCATGTCTTCAGAACACTTCTTTTTCTCACATTTCTTCAACTTCTTCATGGCTTTCAGCTAAAAACTACATTCAAACCTTAAAATGTTCCACATTTATCAGTTTATTCAACTTTAAAATCTTATTCATATTCTTTAGAACATTTCCCATGTTTCCAAGATTTCATAGTCCTTCAGCTACTTTCTGCACATTAAAGCCAGCAATGCAGTGTAGCGTCAGCTTTTCAACAGTCCTTAAAACCTTCCACATCTTTTGTACTATTCAAATTTGTTCAAGCGAGCAATTCAGTTTAGCGCAAGCCCTTCATCATTCCTAAAAACATTCCACTTCTTTCATACATTTGTACTATTCAACTTTTTTCAAGCCAGCAATTCAGTTTAGCGCAAGCCCTTCAGCAGACAGCATTCACACCGCAATTTCTTCAGGAAATGCTTTTCTAGTTTGCAATAGGTATTACTTTTAAGGCCTGTCCCCCTTAAAGTACCACTTAAGGTTCTGTGTTATTAGTATGTTTTGTCGGACAAAAGAAAAAACAATTGTGATGATGGAATTCACTAGTAAGAATTGTACTGCCTTTGTTTTGTGCTCCCAGTCTAGCTTTGGGTGCTGCTCAGCAGGAATGGTTGGACCTGAGGATCCACAGCAGCGCTCGTCGCTGGAGGCTGCCAGGACTGCAGTGTCTCTCCAAGTCTGAACCCTGAACACACAGAGATCTGACACACTCTCACACAGACATACATACACTTCACATTAATCTCTTTGGCTCTTTCCTTTACACATGGTAAGAACCATTCAGGAAAGATCCATTCATCAAAAGGTTTATTTTTGTATTTTATGTGTGATACCTCTGGAGGTTACTTTGAATGTTGCAAAACCTATTTATTTACTGATGTCATATTTGTGTTAATTAACAAATATTTGTTTTACCACTTGTCAGAAAACATTTTTATATTTCATAATAAAAATGTTTTTTATTCATGTTTCGTCATTATGGCTTCATGATTAAAAAAAATGCTTTGCACACACAACATTTTTTATGTGCATATGGTGCATTCCATACTTTGCTGTATGGCAATGAAATGGAGTCTGTCTATAAATGTTCTGTATATACCACTCAAAGCTCTTTACTCATTCATACACTGATGACCGGAGGCTAAGGTGCCAACTGCTCACTAGAAACAGAATCTCATTCATATACACACAGTGATGGCAGAGCAATTTAGGGTTCAGTGCCCAAACACACTTAGACATGCAGAGTGGTGGAGCCTGGGATGGAACCACTGACCTTCCTATAATGGACGACCACTCTACCCCTGAGCCACAGCTGCCCCATGAAATGCACCGTGAAAAATCGTGTTGCATCTTTGCTGCAGTGTTGGTGAACAACTCTCTCTAGCACTGGATTTAGATGAATTCAAGTCGGGGCCATAATGGTTTACAGGTTCTGGAAGCAGAAACACACTTAGACTAGGTGGTAGTGAAACAAAAAAAGGGTTTTATGCAAACAGAGAGAGGGGTTGATGGGAATGGCGATGAGGCAATCTTGCATGGGTATGCAGAGGGCATTATTTTTTTCCCTGCCATAGTTTAACAACTCTGTCTCTGACTGATTAGAACTCATTGCCTCCTTTAGTTAGGGTTAAGGCCCATTTATACTTGTGCGTAGGTGTGTCCGTCATTCTGCGATTACACCCCCAAACGCTAGTCGGCAGTAGCGCTGCAGCGTCCACCGTGTTGACTTTTGCCGGCCAAGCAGGCTAACTTCCATAAATGGGGTTAAAATTGTATATGTGCGGCTGGTGTAGCCTTTTCAAATGTTGTCGACCGAATGGATCACATTCTGATAGCGAAACGAGTCATTTCGCTCGGGTTGCGAAGGTCAAATATATTGATTCACTTGTGTTACAGCTGCCGTTTTGGCCGCTAGTAAATGTTACTTCAAAGTGCTGGGTACTTCCGGTCGGCTCTGCAGCATTGTGAGCCTTCCCAGCCGACCAATCACAGTGCTTACGGTCCGACTCGACTCGACGTGTAGTTACATATTTGAGGAGGTGCACGTCAGGCGATTCGACGCAGAAGTATAAATTACTCGTTAGGGTGGGGTTAGAAAACTGAACCTGTCGCCCATAATGGGAGACAGGAGGTCCACAGTCCATCCCTTGGAAGCCACCCCTCCTAACGTTCCAGGAAGCCTGGTACTGAGGTGTCTCACAAAAATATCGTGGTTAATTATCAAATGGGGAGCGATTACGGGAATACCCGTACCTCTTCCCGTAGCACACCACTGTCCATCCTCCATCATGAGCAAAGCCCATGATCCAAAAGTTGTTGTTAGTCTATACCAAAATAACAAAAAATAAGAAAATAAAAAATATGAAATAAGTAGACATTATTGTTTTATGTGTTTTTTTAACTTAAATTAATATTCAAAAATGAAAAGTTATTATTTATTAAATGTGATAATGTGCCTATTCGCGCAACGTTTCAACCCAGGTGGGTCTTCTTCAGGCGTAGGCACAAAAAACAAAGAAAGAGAAACTAACTGGCTTGCAGACTAGCAAAGATGTTGTCTCTTTGAAGGTCAGAGCTATGATGAGCAGGGGGCCCCCTGAAATCTATTTAAACCCTCCCTTGACTTTAACCCCATAAATGCCAGTGAATAGTTTTAATAGCCTACTGAAATGAATTAAATTGCTGTATAAATATGTAGTTATGTACGTTAGAAATTTCTCTAAAATATGTTTTAATCTATTATTTGATATTTATTGTTTTAATATATTTGTATATGTGTATATGCATAATATATATATATTATGAGTGTACTCTCAACATCAGATCCACCCAGGGCTGAGACTGAATTCAATTCAGTTTTATTTACATAGCGCCAAATCACAACAACAGTTATCTCACAGCGCTTTTCATAAAAGAGCAGGTCTAGACCATACTCAGTGATGTTATTTACAGAAGCCCAACAATTCCCACCAAGAGCAAGCACTAGGCGACAGAGGCAAGGAAAAACTTCCTTTTAAGAGGCAGAAACCTCGAGCAGAACCATGGCTCAGGGTGGGCAGCCATCAGCCTCAACCGGTTGGGGGTGAAGGAAGTAGACGGAGAGAGAGGGCAAGAGAGGAACAGAGAGAAAGAGAGAGAGGGATAGAAGGGGAGAGAGAGGGGAGGGAGGCAAATTTGGTATCAATCGGAGTTGTGGTTGTGGAGATGTAAAATGCATGTAAGTCTATGGGATTTTTTTGAATAGCGCCAACTAGGGGCTAACTGTACCAAATTTTGCACAGCCCCTCAGGGGGACATGCCACATATGGTCCTCAAGTTTTGTGTTGATCGGCCTCTCCATGCCAGAGATATGTCATACTTGCTGTTTTTAGCGTTTTGGCAAATATTTGTTAGCTTGTAATTGGAAAATGTTTTGTCAGATCAAAATTCCCTCTACAAACCTTCTTCAGCTCGGTCCAGAGATGGTCTGTGCCAAGTTTCGTGTTGATCGGACTTGTGGCTTTGGATGAGTTCATTAAAATAGGTTTTCCAGTTTTCGCGATTTGGCGAAATGAAAACGTCATCGCACAGAGGCGTGTCCTATACCATCGGAATCGGCAGCATCCTCCAAACACATAGACGTTAGGTTTATGAATGTGCAATGTAGTGAGCCGTAGTTATCCTGCAAAATGTCCTTTGGTTGAAAATCCCATTGAAATGAATGGGGTATTTGAGGTTCAATTATAAGGCCGCCTTTTGGCTAAAGTGCACCCATGGGGAACAATTGACCCAAATTTGGTGTCAATCGGACTTGTGGTTATGGAGATATAAAATGCATGCAAGTCAATGGGATTTTTTCCCCCCATCTTTAATCTGCTATAACAGCGCCACCTATGGGCATATTTGGGTGAAGTTTGGTGCATTTAGTAAGGGGACCATGCTGAACCATTCGGCACTGGTTTCATGTCAGTGTGAGTTGTGGTAATAGAGGAACAATTTTCTTGGATTAAATAGCACCACCTAGGGGCGAGTTGGATATAAGGTTTTTGATATACGCCTTCGTAGGTGGAAGTTCCAAGGCCAAACGCGTTGACCTTGCTTATAGCACCCCCTAGAGGTAGAAGTCTGCGGATTTAGGCGCCTGAGGTACTCTTGAGGCTGTGAACCTACCTTGTGAGTTTCGTGTCCCTAGCAGTTACCGTCTAGGCCGCAGTATCAGTTTTATGCACGGAAGAAAAAAATAATAAAAATCCGAGCGAAAACAATAGGGTTCCCAACTCCACTGGATCTGTGAACCGCGATGCCTCGCAACTACAGATCCAGACTCCACAGCTCCAGAGCCACAAACACCTGCAGGAAGTGATAGGAGGAGAGAGGCGAGAGAGGCGAGGGACGAGAAAGCACAAGACTACGGGAAAGGGAAGAAGTCGAGTTAGTAACATGCATTAATGGGATGAGGTTGCATACAGAGGGAGAGAAAGTAGAGGAGAGAGGAGCTCAGTGCATCATGGGAAGTCTAGGCCTATAGCAGCATAACTAAGGGATGGTGGTTCAGGACTCACCTGAGCCAGCCCTAACTATAAGCTTTATCAAAGAGGAAAGTCTTAAGCCTAGTCTTAAATGTGGAGACGGTGTCTGCCTCCTGAACCCAAACTGGAACCTGGTTCCACAGGAGAGGAACCACAAGTAACCCTACATTCTGGGAGCGCAGTGCTCTGGTGGGATAGTAAGGGCTCTTTAAGCTCTTTAAGATAAGATGGTGCCTGACAATTAAGAGCTTTGTAGGCAAGAAGAATGATTTTAAATTCTATTCTGGATTTTACTGGAAGAGAAGCTAAAACAGGAGAAATATGATCTCTTTTCCTGGTTCCTGTCAGAAAACATGCTTCAGCTTCAGCCTGATAATAGGGAATTGCAGTAATCCAGCCTTGAAAAAACTAAACAGGATGTTCCTAATTTTCGCAATATTTTGTAGGTGAAAAAAGGCGGTCCTTGAAATTTGCTTAATGTGAGACTTGGGCCCAGAAGGGAATGGGCAGTAATACCAGGGGAGCCAAGCACCAGCTACTGGTCGATAGAGCAGTCACTCGAGACTGCAAGACCAAGCAGACCAATCAGTGCACCTCCTGGATTGACTACAAGAAAGCCACTGACATCAAGAAAAGAAAGCTCCTCACAATGAATGGAGGGTTCCACCCCAAATCCAGCACCCTGAGACTGTACACCAAGCGTAGTGAGGGAGACCAAGGGCTAGTGAGTGTCAAGACCATTGTCCAGGATGAAACGACAAAGATCCAGGAGTACATCAGGAAGATGGCCCCCAAAGATGAAGGGCTTAGTGAATACCTCAGGCAGCAGAAACCCAAGGGTGAGGACAAGGAATACGGAGAACCTTCATGGAGAGACAAGCCACTGCACAGCATGTTGTCTGTGGTACATGCCATGCAGCGGCTTAAAAAACCACAGACAAATAGAAGAAGTGGCTGATATCAAGAAATCCTACCAGTGGCTTGAAAAGGCTGGAATGAAGGACAGCATAGAAGCACTAATCATGGCTGCACAAGAACAGACACTCAGTACAAGATCAATAGAGGCTGGGGTCTACCACACCAGGCAGGACCCCAGGTGCAGACTGTGCAAGGATGCCCCCGAGACAGTACAGCACACAACAGCAGGGTGTAAGATGCAGGAAGTGCGTACATGGAACGCCATAACCAGGTAGCTGGCATTGTGTACAGGAACATCTGCCATGAGTATGGGCTAGAAGTCCCAAGGTAAAAATGGAAGACACTTCCTAAGGTAGTTTAGAATGACTGAGCTAAGGTCCTGTGGGACTTCAAGATCCAGACTGACAAACTGGTGATGGCTAACCAACCAGACATCGTGTTGATCGACAAACAGCAGAAGAAGGCTGCAGTGATAGATGTAGCAATCCCAAGCAACATCAAGAAGGAACACGAGAAGCTTGAGAAATACCAAGGGCAGAA